TGGATTTGTGATAATACCGTTACTGCTGGAGATTTTAATTGCTATTTTTCTTCAGTTTGATAAACCACCACCACCATCACTAAATGCAATTTCAAACAGAACCAGAGCAATCTCAGACACTTACAATGATTTTGGCTTGATCAACACATGGTGAGTTCTGCACCCAAATGATAAAGAGTTCACATTTTTCTCAGCATTTTCTACATTCAGTATAGAATTGATTTAATCTTAACTCCTAAGGTATCACTGCAGAACATACATAGCTGTACTTTAGGGGACAGTTTTATTTCAGATCTTGCAACTGTTTGCCTCCCTTGACGCTGAAAAAGCCTGCTAGAATATCCCTGTTTAATTTTTACCTTGTCTAAATTTGATTTAGGGGATTATCAAATGGGTACATATTCTGTATACTGCCCCATTCTCTGCTGTTATCACAAACAGGCATAAATCTGCAAATTTTAGCATAGGAAAAGGTAGTAGACAGGGCTGCCCAATGAGTCCTTTATTGTTTGCACTCACCAAGGAACAACTTGCCACAGCCATAAGGCAGAATTGCTTCTCTGAAGCAATCGATTCCTAAATTAACTGAGCTAATTAATGAATGACTCTTAAGAATTTGCAAGTAGTAAACCCAAATATCTCTTACCCCTTTCGCTAGTCCCCATCAGGCTTCACCTATTTAGGAGATAAAAATCTCTCCTTTTTGAGCTCAACTTTGTTCCTCTTTTTCAGGCTGTAAAAATGACCTGAAAGCTGCATCACTGAAGGTAACAAGAATATATATCATTCTGAGGAATATGCTTTTTACCTGGAAACAGGTTAGAAAATTAGAGGGATTCAGAAACTGCCTCTTGTTATTAACCACGCTGCATGAAAATCCAGATTTCCCCCCTGGTCTTACATTTACATTTACATTTATGGCATTTGGCAGACGCTCTTATCCAGAACGACTTACAGTGTGATCATTTTACACAGGTAGGTGAAGGTAGTGTTAGGAGTCTTGCCCAAGGACTCTTATTGGTATAGTGTAGGGTGTAGAAGGCAGAGGTGTTACCCACTACACCACACCAACCAGCTTAACTCCAAACTTATCGATTGGAAGCTCAAGGATATAAGGATTGTTGTTGACATAATGCAAGATGGTGATATCCTCCCATTCCAGCAGATCAGAAATAGTTTTGACATAGCAAAGTCTGACTTAATTCATAGTTTCAGAGTTTCATAAGTACAAAGTTGAAGCTGGTCCAGGTGTCTTCGCTACCTCTCCTGTAGAGCTGCTTTTGAGAGATACAAAACAAGTAAGGTTTGTGACAAAAAGGCTGTACAGTGAGCTATTAATACCAACTTGGATAATACTAATAAAAGTTGTAGGAAGAAAATTTTGGTTCAACAGTTGATTTGGCTGACTGGAGAAATACAACCCCTTTTCCAAAAAAGTTGGGATGCTGTGCAAAATGTAAATACAAAACAAAATGTAATGATATCATGATGTCAATGATGTGAAATCATTTAACCCCTATATTTAATTGAAAATAGTAGACAGACAACATAACAAATGTCGAAATTTTAGTTTAGCTTTTTAAATATATGCCCATTTGAATTTGATGCCAACAACACATTCCAAAAAAGTTGGGACGGGGGCAACAAAAAGCTGGTAAAGTTCTGTAATGCTAAAAACCTGGTGTTTGATTGGCAACAGGTCAGTAACATGATTGGGTATAAAAAGCATCCCAGAGCTAATTCTTTCAGAAGTAAAGATGGGGAGGGGTTCACCACTCTGTGAAGGACTGCATGATGAAAAAAGGTGCAACAATTCAAGAATAACATTTCTCAACTTAAAATAGCAAAGAACTTTTGCTTTTCATCATCTATGGCAAATAATAACATTCAGAGAATCTGGAGAAATCTCTGCATGCAAGGGACATGGCCAAAAAACAGTGGCTGTGATCTTTAGGCCCTCAGGCGGCACTGCATTAAAAACAGACATGATTCTCTAGAGGAAATCACTGCATGGGCTCAGGAACAGTTCTGAAAACCACTGTCTGTGAACACAGTTCATCACTGCATCCACAAATGTTAGTTAAAACTTTAAAACGCAAAGACGAAACCATCTGTAAACAGAAATGCCACCACCTTCTCTGGGCCTGATTTAAAATGGACTAAGGGGAAATGGATGTGGTCTGACAAGTCAATATTTAGGGGTCCAAGCACCAAGCACTGTCAGTTTGTCATTTTGTATATTTGTGTCAAATTTGGAGGCATTTGGAGGGCTTAGCATTGGCCAATCATCACAAAAATTATATTATGTGTCCATATAGGCAATCTCTAATAGCCTATAAAGTTTGACCTCAATTGGCCATGAGGTGGCGCTATAGAGTATAAACAAGAATAAGTCCTATAAATTTTATCATATATCAAAATAAATCAATAAATATCATTGCTTACACTGAGCATGACATTTTATCCAATACAAGTCTTTTAAAATTCTGTAAAGTTTTTCTTTGATTGATCAATGTTTGAAAATTGAGCTTTTCGAACTAGTCTGTGGATTTTAAAACAACTTTACTGTACAGGAAATCCTATAATTTGATTTCAGTAAATTTTGGTGAGATTTTTCTCTGGCCACCAGAGGGAGCCAAATCAGTAACTGCACGTCATTGTTGACATATACATGGAAAGCTTTACTGTATGTCTTTAAGCGAAGAGCATTTCTGAATGTTATGTTTTTCACTAAGCCTAACAATTTTGCAAATACAAGTCTTAAAAAAACTTTCAGTAATATCACGGTTGACAAAAGATGGAGAATAGACATTTCTTACTAATGCTTGAGTTTAAATCAAATCAAATTTTTCTTAAAACCATCATATTGAAAATATCATGACTTAAGCACAGTGTGGCTGAAGATTTGAATAATTTGGTGTGAATTGGCTTATTCTGCCATAAAAGGCTAAAAATACACCAATAATTGTCTGAATATAACCAAATTTGACACAAATATACAAAATGACAAACTGACAGTGTATTATGATTTCGTTTGAAATTATACTACTCAATAGTCACAATAATTGCAAGGTGGAAACTAATTCCCAAGATGGTGCTAGGTTCCTTATTGGTCTAGACCGATAAATTCTCTCAAAAAAAATAGGTCTGCTGTTGGCCTCTTGTAGCTCACCATGAAAACATCCGCCTTTGAAGATTAAGGTTGTGGGTTTGATTCCCTGTACTGGTGTTAGATGGTGCTGTAGCAGTTGTTGTGAACACACGCTTAATTATCGTAATCTTAATGAAGGGTCTTTCTGAAAAAAAAAAAGATTTGCTGCCTTCTATGTCCAGAGACATGAAATTTGTTTATGCTGCTACTTTGTCCTAAAATGGTGTGTGGTTCCTTGTTGCGTCCTTTCAATAAATTGTTTCAAAAACTGCAGATTTGCCACAGGATCAGCGTTAGCGCCTCTGCCTTTGAACTCTAGGGTCATGGGTTTGAATCCCTGTTATGGATGTTAAAATGAGTTGCGTAGATAGTAGCAGATGTATCAGCTAGTAGCCTTAATCATAGGAAAAGGAGAACTTTCTTAAAAATCTGAAGTTCTGCTGCAGTCTACGACCAGGGGCCACTACTTTACTCCTCGATGTCTTCCAGGTGCTTGGACCCCGCAGATTGCCGCTTGCAGCTATATTTGAAATTCTTTTTGGAAATCATGGACATTGTGTCCTCTGGGCTAAAGACCACTCAGCTTATTATCAGTGCACAGTTCAAAAGTCAGTATTTATGATGGTATAGGGGTGCATTAGTGCACATGGTATGGGTGACATGCACATCTGTGAAGGCACCATTAATGCTGAATGATATATACATTTTGGCAACTTATACTGCCATCCAGGCAATGTCTTTTTCAGGGAAGGCCCTGCTTATTTCAGCAAGACAATGGCAAAACACATTCTGCACGTATTACAACAGCATGGCCCCGTGTTTAAAGAGTCCGGGTGCTAAACTGACCTACCTGCAGTCCAGACCTGTCACCACTGAAAACATTTTGCGCATCATGAAATGAAAAATACGACAAAGGAGACCCCGAACTGTTGAGCAGCTGAAATCCTATATCAAACAAGAATGGGAAAACATTTCACTTTTAAAACTGCAGTAGTTGGTCTCCTCAGGTCCCAAATGCTCACAGAATGTTGTTAAAAGAAGAGGTGATGAAACACAGTGGTAAACATAGCCCCGTCCCAACTTTTTTGGAACGTTTTTGGAACTCTTTATTATCCCAGAATATAGACACGGTTAAACTCAAACTTGTCCAAAGTATGTAATAAATGTTATATAGCAGTTGGATCTTTATTTTATTGTTTGTGGGGTTCTGCACATACACAGAAATTCTTCTTAGAATTCAAAGCCTTCTTTGTCAATAAGGAGATTGAGAAAATGTTCAAATGTTCTCTTAATTTAGGAGCTAAGATTTGTGTGTCATGGCTCAATGACTTTAACTCAAAATTCTTTTGTATTGTGCTCAGAAATGTATTTCATGTCTTTAGATTACAAATAAAGTACCTCATTTAAATCAGTGGCAGCAATCTGTAACATGTTTTATCCTGTTTGAGGCATTTTGTTCAGCCCTGAAAGGCAAACTGTATTTATTTTCTTAAAACAGAGACCTCAAACGGTCCAAGTATGGGGCCCATACTTTAAAAAATAAATTTGCTTTGCCAGTATTCAAGATATTAGCTGCATGTGTTTTTGGTTTGAATGCTGGTCCTACGTTTGATGGCAAATTGTGTGTGTGTGTATAACTGTATCTCTGCATAGGCTGTCCATGAAGCTTCCGCTGTCCTCCCTCTCGATCTATTTATATATTATGTTTTATTTATTAAATTAATAATTCTTTTCCCCAGTCTTGTGTTATTTATAATGGCTGTTTTGTCATTTATAGGTCTTTGTTTTGCCAAAACATGTCTAATAAAACATTTACCAAACAAAAAAAAAAACATTCACACTACATACACAAGTTCTGCTTTCATTTTATAGAACAGATATTTTGAAAATTGCTGGCATGTTAAACAAAGACACAGATTGCTTCACGTGAGCAGCTGCAACACCAGTAAACAGGGCTACACCACCAATACAGCACTTTAGCTCTGTTTAAAGTTCCAATCAACACTTCCATCCACTTCTTATTCTCACTATTTGTTGTGACGGTGCATGGAAACCTAAATATGGATGTTGCAGATGAGTTGCTATGGTACACAACAATAACTTTTTGATATTGCTTCTGTGGAGCTGAAGTGAGTGTTACCCTCGAAAAAACGGAAATGCAAGAGTAGCACTAAGAAGAATGCAGAAGCACCTTTTTCTAAAAGGGAGCATATCTCCTGCTATAGATAAGGCCCCTCTTGAGCTGGTATGTATGTTTGTGCGACACCAGCAAACCCTGGAGGGCTGCTGTTGAACTGCAGGGCTTAGCCTTTTTGAAAGTATTTAGAATCCAAGGGTAGGGAGTACACAAGCATTTCCACGCTTTACGCTTTCCGATAGGCCTACTGTCACTCCTCAGGTGGGGAGGGCTGTATCCATATTGGGGTTGATGCTACTGAATGCTTTGATGCCCCTAGAGTTATCAGCGTGGGACTGACTGAATGGGCTGCATGTTGGTGTGCAAAACAGGCTGGTTCCTGAACATCTAGGCACTGTCCTGGCCTCATAAGTGGCATCGGGCTCATATGCTCTAAACTGTCTGTACTAAAGCTGAGTGGACAAAGGAATTGCGGGGCATTGTAACACACCGAAAAATCTGGTTTTGCCAACAGTATGGGAGTAATAAGGTGTGTGCTTGGTGTGTACATGAGTTGTGTGTCTTTCGGCTGGCAAGGGGCCCTGTAAAACTGATATGCTTGGCATGTGCATAGGCTATGTGGCTGTTCTCTGACCCCTGTCACTCAAAGATTTACTTGCAAGCTTCTGATTAAGAACAAAAACGGATTTGAGAGGGAAAAAGCACACTTCTTTAATTGTGCATGTTGGACTTAAAATTTTGCCCCCCCCAAAAAATAAATAACAGTTCACTGAAGGAAAAAAAAAGCCATTCCACCACTGTTCCAGTTACATTATTTCAGATTTTACCACAAAACAAACACCAGAAACTGTATATTAAGAACAATTACTGTGTCTCAGAGAATATATACAACTATCTGTCTTTGGGTGGGTTTCTGTTCCTGCGTCTTCTATGATATCTGCAGGAAACAAAGAACGGAAGTAAGAGTAAGGCTTTCACTGTACAGATATTGTTTTATGGTTACTATAGGAATAGGTTTCACAATTCTGGCATGCTGATATACACCAGATATATACATATTTCAACAGATGGGTCTGTTTAACAAAAACAGGTAAAACTAAAATAAGAACAACAAAGAAAAAATGCAAGAATAAAACTATAGTAAACACTGATGAAAAGTGATATAAAGAATAGCTGATAGAAGTGGACTTACTGTCCGGTGGGGTACCAGCGGTGCTTTGTGGTGTAGAACATCTTTGAAAGCTCCTCTATTATTGAGTTCTGTTTATCTTTTAAAATTTCACCAGTGAGTTTAGACTTCAACACCAGATCATGGGTTTCTACAGGATCGCTAATGGTATCTGGTCTGGAAAGGGTCTATACAGCAAAACAGACACAAATATTTATGGCACATTACTCAGTTAACTAAAATGCATAATCTACAAAAGAAATCTTTAACATAACTTCACTTCAACTTCAGGTCAATTGCACTAAAATAGAAATAGAACCTTAATTGTGTTGAAAGCTAAGAAAGATGTAATACTGATAAAGAAGTTGATGTGAAAATGGTGTAAAGCCATCTTTTGTCTAAATACATCAAAAAGTCTGAACCTTTCCTATGACATCTATTAATAACTCATTAAGAATTGTGAGTCTCAGTGTTCCCAAGTTAAAGCACAATCTTTCAGCCACTGCTTTGTTCATCAGCGACTCCCAGCCTGATAAAGCAGAAAAATCTGACACACGTTTAATTAACCCTACTACTATGGTCATGTATAAACACATAGTGAAGGCATCAAAAGTAGATTCACGGCTCTGTTGCACCTCATCTGTTAATGTAACAATAGCTACAAACTCCTCCGCTACTATGTGTCAGATCCAGCCTTTTCCGCAGAGTGTGCTGTAGCCCCAACACTGCTAAGTGAAGGGCTGTGAAAATAAAAATGCACTTGGGTCGAGTGCATTTTCAAAATTACCACAGAATGGGTGCAGGACGTAAGAGTTTGTACAGTTGCATGCAGAAGTTTGGTGCACCTGGCAAAATCACACATTTTGTTTATTTTTGAAGTGAAAAGCAGTAAACAGATCCTCTGCAGCAAACTTAAATTAGGTACTTAAAAACATTTATCTGCAAATATTACTTTACACTTTAAAAGCAAAAAGTTTCAGAATTTAATTAATTTTTTTTTAACTGGCTCAACAGGACTAGTCAGGCAGGTCATGAATTTTCATTAGGAACCGTCAGCATATGACAACAGGAGCAGGAGTTTTGGTGGCTGTCGGGCAAAGGAAATAATAGGGTGGGGCGAAAATGAATGGAAGTTAAAGGGAGGAACGAGGGACGAAAAAAATGACAGACGTGTGCGGGTTAGTATAGCTGTGGATTAAAGCTTGGGGACCTGCCCTGAGTAAGTACATGTAGTTTGGTGGCTGTCAGGCCAAGAAATAATAGAGGTTGACTGGGAGCAAAAATTAATGGGAGTCTACGGGAGAAAAGAGGAATAATGACAAACAGATGAGTGTTGGTCAGAACAACGTTGAATTTGACTGAACAGAAACATGCTCCAATAACAATATAAAAAAAATAAATAAATAAATAAAAATAAAAAAAAATCAGGAAATTATACAAACCTCACCCTTAGGCATCAGACCCGGCCCGGATGGCTTCACTGCAGAATTTTACAAGTACTCTGCTCTTGAACTTGCTCCATTGCTCCAGGCTTGATATGTACATAGACTCAAAAGGTGAGCACTCTAAACTTAAGCTCTGATCACTCTCATTTTGAAGAATGATAAAGAACCAACAGACTGTCGTAGGTATAGACCTATTTCTCTGACCAATTATGATAGCTGTATCTTTGCAATAATCTTTGCCAACAGATTAAACAAGGTTGTGTTCTCCCTAGTACACCCAGACTAAGTGGGATTTTTACGCAATCAACGCTCCACAGATAACACATCTGTTTGATATAATGAGGTGGGTTAGAGAGGATGTTGCTCCCACTGTGGCCCTGACAGTGTCAACTGGGAGCACTTATTTTTTCGTCCTTGAGCATTTGGAATTTGGAGAGGTCTTCCTTGACCTGTTACACTTAATCTATAGGGAATCCATCGCAGCTGTAGTAACTAATAGACTCATTACCCCATACTGTACGTTATACAGAGGTACTGACCATGCAGACTATGCCTCTCCATCCATTGTTGCTCTTGCTCTAGAACTGTTAGCTGCTGCCATTCGCCTAGATCCTAACACCTTAATAACCAACCCTTCTACCATAGCAACTGCATAGCAATGGCTCGGAAATCACATAGTAATACTTAGCAACCATCCAGTAAACCTTATACACCATAGCAACCACCTAGCAACATGTTAGCAAACTCAAGCTGTACAATCACTCTGCATTTTCTTTACGAAATGTACTATTCTAGTTAGTGACTGCACATTGTAAAGCAATGAGCGACACAACTGTTAGCTGACAGGAAACTATTAATGATAATTATATACGATTAATGATTATTAATAATGTGCAATGCTACTGTTGTCCAACGGTATATTCTTCTTGTTCTTCTCGATACACTCTTTTTTTTTTTCCTCCACTAACCCGTCCCACAGTTTTCGAAGTATCGACACCATTTCAACTCCGGAATGTTTGTTCAGATCAGGAATGCTGTGCTTGTATACAACTTTTTTTAATTATTTCCTTCACCAAAGAGCCATCGAACTGCATGCACGTGCTCCTGCCATGTCCTAAAGCTCTAATCCACAGCCATACTGATCCATACTCCTCTCTGTGTCGTTTGTTCATCCTTTGTTCCTCCCTTGGACATAATTAACGTAAGAATGTTTGAAGAAGGAGCAGCATTTGATGAAAAGAACACCTTGTCAACTTCAGCATTAGAGTGAATCTATTATGCTTTGGGGTTGTATAGCACAAGACAAACTGCTTGGACAGACTGAAGAATGGATTCCACTGAATATCAGCAAATTCTAGAAGCAAATGTCACAGTCAGTCTAAAACTGAAACCAAAAAACAGGCTGGATTCTACATCAGGATAATAATCCAAAAATGACCTTACAATCCAACCTGAATATACTTCAATAAATACTTCAAGAAGATACTTCAAGAAATGCAAGCTGGAGCTTTTGCAATGGCCCTCACGGTGTCCTGACAAACATTATCAACAATCTGTAGGTAGTTATTAAACAAGGTGAGCATGCAAGAATATTGCAGAACAAGCAGCGCTGTGCAAGTAAAAGTGGGTGAAAATTCATCAAGTAAGAACAGAAAACTGCTGACTACGAAAAGCGTTTGCAAGCTCTGAGACCTGCCAATGGTGTTATTAAGCACTGACTTAGTAAAGTGCCCAAACTGTTGCACATGCCACAGTTACTATTATATTTTACTTTATGTTTCATTATATTGCACAGATTCATTTAATATAAAGCAACTGCATTAAACCCTTCAGAAAAACAACAAAAAAATACACTACAGTTTACTGATGTGTATACTTCTTTTCACTTCAAAAACCATATTTACTCCATATGCATGCAATTAGTGATTTATAAATGTGTATTTGTAGAAAAAAACAGCATTTCCCTCCTCTAAGCCAGGTGGGACTTGAGTTTGCAATATTTTCAATTAAGGAACACTCCTCCCTCTGCCCCAACATAAATTGTCATCAGGGCATGACAATGTAGTGGGAACTTGAGAAACCAGAGCTGCTCTTTGTATCTAAAAATCTGGAAACTGCAGCCTTTTTGACTAAAACTCAATGATCATACATTAAGCGTCCATGATAACATTATCATGTGTATTCAATATCATGACAGCATTCGACAGAATAGCTGAAAATGATCACATTTGAAAATATTCAGTAACTGCATTCCAACAGCAGGCAAATTCTGAAGAAAACATCCATTAGTAGTCATTAAACACCACTAAACCCATCATCTACCACATGTAAATGTTAATAAAAGGCTATACAATTTGGCTGCCATGCTCACCTTGGTCAACTCGAAGGCAATGCCTGCAGCATGGTGGAAACACACTATGGTTTTGCCATCATGTGTCACGCCAAGGTCCACATTACTAGATGAGAAGGGGGCAAATAAATTCAGTATTAGTGTCTGTCAAACTCAGTGGGGTATGTGGGTGTTAGCTGCTGCCATTCGCCTAGCACACACTTTTCAAGTTTCAAGAGTAAACAACATTAATATTAGTACTTATTTGACACAAGAACAGAGAGACATTGAGGATAGGCATGTGCCAGTATTACAAACTACATTTTTAAAAATATGTTTTTAATGTCACAAAATACGTTTAAGATGATTCATTTTTAATTATTCATTTAAAATAAAATTTAAATACCATCTATAATACTATAAAGGGTGTATCACTACGATACAACCCTGCCTTAGAACACTTAGACCTTCCGTGAAGCTGCTCCTACATAAAATATAGCATGGGACATCCCACCATGTACATAAACTGTACCAACATAAAAATGGCATTTACTGCGCTGTATCATTTAGTCATTAAGTACATGCTATGGCAATCATTACATAACAGTGCTTATTAGTATATTATTAGAAGCCTCGGTTTATCAAATATACTCTGACGAGACTACTAATTTCTGCAGGAACATCTGACTCTCCACTATATGATAGCATCAAGCTAACAACAGAATTTTTTAACACACTGTGTTCAATGCTATATTAATTTATTAATTTATTATATATAACATCAATGCATTCATCTGTTAGACCATTAGCAGTCAAGCAGGTTCGTAAGATAAGATAAGATAATCCTCTATTAATCCCACAACGGGGGAAATTTGCGGTGTTACAGCAGCACAGAAGACAGAGCAGCAGGAAATATACAAACAATATATAAAATAGAATAAACAATAAAAATATAAAGATATATGTATATGTACAAAAAAGTAAAGGGGAATTCCACCGATTTTTCAAAATTCCTGCATAATTAAATAGTCAAGATGCAAATAAAGTCAAGATGTCTGAAGTTTAATGCCTATAAGTGTGTGTTTATTCTTTTAGCTCAGTTTCCTTGGTCTGGACCAAAGCAGAAGATGATACACTGTTGCATTTCAGTTCTAGTGCACTTAGCATTCACACTGACATATTTGACATTGAACAAAAAGTTGTAAATAAAAGTCATATGGGTAAAAGACACAACTGATTGGACAGATTTTATAATTGTAATAATGTCCACCAAACTTTCTGAATCATGTTGATCTCTGTTCTGGCTGGGCTTGTTGGGTTTATTTGTGTGTTGTTTTATCCATCTTGTGATATCAGAGCAATAAGCCATGAGCCACTCGCTGCATTACAGTGATTTTGCATGACATGAAGCAGGGTGAAATCCCTGTAACACACACTAGAGTGGCTTACTACTTTTACAAAACAGAGATACCTTGGCACAATAATACATAATTTGTGTGTGCAGTGAGATGTGTATATTGAGTATTTTATAATAGCTTTGAACATGTCTCAGCTTTGCTTTAAAAGTGAATCTTTTATCCATTGTATAATTACCAATTCAGAGCTTCAGAAACTTGCCTTTTCCATATTCCAAAGAAGTTACACAGAGAGAAGACGACAGTTCATTCTGTCTTCGGTCCGTTTACTTTTGTACTTGAGTCATATTGTGCTCATAAATCAAATGAACTGCACAAGAGTTCATTTTGAAGCGAACTAAGACCAACCTACTCAGCAGGTCGTGGTACGCTTATCTGGTGCATACCAGAATTCAGATGGCAGCATTGTCACTTGCTCTAAAAAAAAGAAAAAAAATCCTTTCATGGTGGAGGGGTAAATGCAGGGTGTTGTAAGGCAAAATAGTCCCCAAAAAGCGCATATTACTTCAGAATATTTTACCATTATTAACGATGCATATAAAAAGTCAAGTCAAAACACATATAGGTTCACAAGTGGCTTTGGATAGTAAATAAAATGGTTATATATGCACTGAAATTGTCATGATCCCTGGTTTCTGTCACCACCACTATAAGAAATCAGAGTTGGTAAGTCTCTCTACAATGAACCATTTCAAATCAAACCACTGGGTTTACAGTACCACTGACCCATTAAATTATGCACCTCTAGAAATCTGTGGTGAAACTGCATCTTGTTTGAATAAATTGCAACGGCAATGTTTCAAAGTGTCCAAGATATGTTACCGTGCATATTTAATATCGCAGTATACCGAATTACTGAACACCAGCACATGTCTAATTGAGGACTGAAAATATCTGCTACTTAACATATTGGTTTCAATATGTTCAGCCCTCATAGATGAAATTCATGGAAGCACTAGTCAGCTTCTCATTCACCAGCTTCTTGTTTGAATTTTCCCGTTCCACCTTAAATTGTGCAGCAGTTAAATTCCGTACGAATGAGAACGAGAAGCTGGCGAATAAGAAGATGACTTCAGCCTCGTAAAAAGTAGAACATTGGGAGCCATTTTAAAACTGTTCTACTTTTGTGGAAAAGTTTCAGCTGGTGATGCAAGAAAAGCAGCTACAGCTGAGCTAAAGCTTAAAGCAGAGCAAAGTAAGTCTGCATTTTTGTTTGTATTATATTTTTAGCCTACACTAGGACATTAGCACGTGCTGAGACATATGTACAGCCAAGATGGTAAAATGGACTGGCTCCCAAGGTGGTTTGATTTTTGTTGAAAGGACAAAATGACTCTTATTAACATTTGGGTTGCGACCCCTGCACTAGCTTTTAATGTAGCGTGCACGCCACAGACGGGCACTGCACTTCCGCACTTTGCAAAGTGCCTTTTGCGTTCCATCAACATTACGTTATCAATTAAAATTTAGAAAATCGATTTTTTGACATTTGCGAATCGATTCAGAATCATCTACTTCCGCATTGCGATGCATCTAAGAATCAATTTTTCCCCCCACCCTTACTGCTAATACCCAACACTAATTATACTTACCAGTTTTGATCAGAAGCTGGTATTTGATGTGACACTGTGGCATGAGACGACACAGGACCAACTGCAAAAAACATGAAAATTTAATGTTAAAGCATCGTTCTAATAAAGTATATTACAACAGATTTTATTCTGAAATAGTGATTGAGTAAAAATCACTAAGGCGCTCCAAGAAAGAACAAGTAAAAAAAAAAAAGCTACAAATTCAAGAGTTTTCATACTCTTTGTATGAATCATTTTGACCAAGTCAACAAAGGCAATTAATATGAAATTAAATACACATTTAAGTCACGTCTTTCTGCTGCACTTAACCATTTTTTTTCTAAATGTATGCCTGCATTTTCAGACACTGCAGTAACACATTCAACAATAACAGTAGCATGCTGAGGCAGCATCAGGCTCGCTAGCCTATAAATTGATAAACATTTTGCCCTTCAATTTTTGTCATTTCCTTACTTTGCTATGTACCAAAAATGATAAATACCATATGTCGGGCCACTTGCGAAATCTACTTTCAGAATTTTAGATGTTCGAACACAGGCTTAAAGTTGGATAGATCCTTTGCGCTAGATGTCATATGGCAGACTAAAAGCGATGTTGTGCCGAATGCGCGTGCAATGTCTTTTACTCGAAAGTGGAAGTAATCTGCTTTTACCTTACTTATATCAACTAGAAAAACTTGCAAAAGATCACATTCATTTCAATCAACAATAAAGTAAATCACTGTTTTACACAGTGCACACAACCCACGTATTCTTCTAAACTACAGTGACTCTTAATGAATAATAAGAGAAAATAGTGTAGCCTTAAAGCTGCTATTCCTTGACAAGGAAATATACATATGACTCTCACGCACTAATCGTCTCTCATTTCTTACCAATCTGGTTTAAGTTCTTTAGACTTTGCACTCTTATAACTGAGAAATCTTCATAGAAGTCTTGCAACAAAGGCAGTAATTTGTAAAGAAAAAAAAAAAATCAGTAAATGCGACCCATTACAAATCTAGATACACTGGTATCGGTGCCATGTAACTTGCACACATTTACTGCTAAAATCATTTCATTGTCAACTCAAAATACAGTGACAGGGAAATGCTATATATCCCTGCTGAAAAAGGACCATTAGAAACCATTAGGATTAAAACCATTAGATTGAATGTTTTTGCTTTCTAATGGGAATTGGCTTAATGGTTTCCAATATAGACCACTAGTTTACTGTAGAACACCTTTAGTTCCCAATAGGAAACAATTAAATGCATTTAAAATCAGCCATTAGTCACCTGTTAAACCATTAGGATCCTTTACATTGTGATATGCACAGACTGAGAAATACGAAAGAAATCCAGGTAAGAGCATACATGCACTGAGAAATCCGATTACTGATCTGAAGTCCAGCTCTCTTTATCGTATTTCTTAATCGGATTTCTAGACATTATTCCGATCTGAGACATCAGAGTACGTTGTTTACACGACCATTTGAATAATCAGATAACTGCAGAAATCCGATTATGTAAACGCACTTAATTTCACCTGGCTAATAGCTAATGAAACAGCAAAGAGAAATATTTAAAACTAACACTGATAATTTGGAGACAAATGTACTTATTTGCATTTATAAGCACTCCAGCTGGTTTCCTGATACGTTTAATCTGCAATGGCAAAGTCTGGATTGAAAGTCTATGTTTTTTCAAAAACTAGTGAAGCTTAATGGCACAGTTAGTGTTATACCCAAGTTTGGCCAAAGTTTTCCTGTCTAGCTATCTGCTATCATCACAGTGTTTATGTACAGGTCAGCTGTTAGAGTAAGTTACATCACTGTCCTTGTACATGTTTTCATTGTATGCCAAAAAGGAGAGAAATACGGTTTGTTCTCTGTCATAGCGACCAGGCCACGGTGCTGTACTTTAGGAAACACTAACGGTGTTTAGATGATTAGCCAAAGTCCTACGTGTGTTACTTTAGGGCTGGGCGATATGGCCAAAATGTTATCATGAAAAAATGATCACGATAAACATCAAATCATTATTTCTTTAAGTTTAAAGGCTGAATTTTGCTCCCAAGTGGTTAACTGACCAGACTGATTTGTGTTTTAAAGTTTCATTTAACTTTGGAACATAATTTAATATATGTACACCACCAATAATCACGCAATGTTGCTTATTACCTGATTTGTGAAAACTTTGGCATGAGTGATTTATACAGTTCTGCTCATATTTTCATGTGTAATAATTTAACGTTTGGGGCAAATATAGAACATTAATGCATATATCTTTGATAACTGATCATGTATAAAGATAACAGCATACATATTTTAATTATATATAATTAACTTTTCTGATTTGTGAAATATTTCACAAGGATATTTTTCTCTAGTAGTCCTTTATTAATAAGTTGTGGAAATAAAAGGCTAAATATTTCAAGGGACTGACTCTGAGATGCTATTTACAGTAACAATAGCAATGAAATTTCACTTGTTTTAGGCATTATATGATTTGTGAAAATTTTCACAAAGTTTGTTTTTTATTTATACAGTTCTGCTCGTATTTTCATGTGTAATAATACAGTAGTTCAGCTTCTGGGGCAAATAAAGAACATTAACGCATATAACTGATAACTCATTGTGTGTAGAGATAAAACTAGACAAAAATGAACTTTGATTTGTGAAATATTTTACAACTATACTAAACACAGTGTTTTTTTTTTTAACAAACTTTATTCGGTTTATGGAAAAAGATATCCAGTTCACAGGTTTTTCCTTTATGTTACTGTAAACTCTTTGCACATGTTCTACAGTTGAATGTTTTCATATGTAAAGCCAAATTATGACAGGGTAAGCCAAAGCTACCAAACTCTACCAAACTTAAAAATGTCTTGTTACACAAAAAGTAGTGTTGATATTACGTTTATCTTATATTGTTGATGTTCTGTTCATTTGTGTGCTGTATCTTCTACATGTACTGAAACTATTATTTGATATTATTTGATTATTTGTTTACTTTAGCTTTCCATTAACCAAATAATGTCTTTTTATTCTAAAATCAAAAGAAATAAAACTAGTAAATGACAAAAGTTTTCACAACCTGGAACATTGATTAAAGCCTGCTTGATCATTTTACATTTGACGTTTGCGTTGCTGTGCCAGTGTTTGCCTAATTAACTGGAATACCCTTTTCAGGTGAAAATGCAAATGTCATAATATAAAACAATGAAAGTTTGTAAAAATCATATAATACCCAAAACAAGTTAATAACATTGCTAATGAAAATGTCTTTATTTTATGTCTATATTTAAATTTAGCACTGACTTACAAAAGAATGACAAGAGATGAAACATTTCGGATGTCAGGCGAGTTGATTTGAATCTACTTCCATCTCTCTACATGTTCAGTTAAAGTTATATGCATTTCATGTATGCAATTTTTCAGTATTTCCCCCCAAAAATCTACTTCTATATTACTACACATGAAAATGTGGGTAGAACTGTATAAATTAAAAAAAAAAAAACTGTTTGTGTTTTCACAAATCAGATAATGCCTACAATAATTGAAGTTTCATTGTTGTTACTGTAAATAGCCTTTGAGTCAAACCCTCCAAATACGCAGCTCCTTATTGCCAAAACTTTTTAATAAAGGACTGATAAAACGTAACTGTGAAATTTCACAAATCAGAAAAAATACATTTGTCTGTTGTTATGTCGCTATACATGATCAGTTATTAAAGTTATATGCATTCATGTTATATATTTGCCTTTTACTGTATTATTACACAAGAAAATGTGAGCAAAAAATTATAAATCACTCAAATATGCCAAACTGCATTTGTGAAAGTTTTCACAAATCAGGTAATAACCAACACTGCATGATTATTGGTTGTGTACATATATTGTGTTCCAAAGTTAAACACAAACATTTTTCAGCTTTTTTTGTGCAAAACATTTTAATCAATGGCTGACAAACAATTCTAGCCTGCTTTCATCTTTCATCTTGTCCATATATGGACAAAAGTATTGGAACACGTCCTCTTAATGTTTAAATTCAGGTGTTTAATTTAGTCAAGTCAAGTCAAGTCAAGTCAAGTGGCTTTTATTGTCATTCCATCTATGTACAAGTACACAGAGGAGCGAAATTACGTTCCTCCAGGAACAAAGTTCAACAAGAAACAAAAAGTACAAAAGTACAAAATTACAAAGTGTGAATGTGCAGACAGTGCGCAAACAAAAATTAAACTAGAAACAAAACAATAAATACGATAAATTAAACAGACATTAGACACAGTAAACAGATCGGACAGTGTAGCACCGACACAGCACAGATTTCTGGACATGAGGTAGTGGAATAAGGTGCAGACATATTTAACATGACGTGATCTGTAAGTTACATCAGATAACATACATATACACAGCAGTTACTTAGGTAGTGAAAACAGTGTAAACACAGTATTGGCAACAATGTTCCAGATAGATAGTGCAAGTACAGCATCAAAAGAGGTGTGTATGAGTGTGTAGGGGGGGGATTTAGTTCAGTCCTTGTGAGTTTAAAAACCTGATTGCTTGAGGGACAAAGCTGTTGCAGAGCCTGGCAGCGATGGCATGGATGCTCCGGTACCTTCTGCCAGACGGCAGCAGTGAAAAAAGTCTGTGTGAGGGATGGATGGGGTTGTTCACGATGCTGGTGGCTTTGAGGATGCAGTGTGTGGTGTAGATGTCCATGATGGAGGGGAGAGAGACCCTGATGATCTTCTCAGCTGTCCTCACTATGCGCTGTAGGGTCTTGCGATCAGAGGCGGTGCAATTCCCAAACCAGGCAATGATGCTCAGAATGCTCTCCACAGTCCCCCTGTAGAACATGGCGAGGATGGGAGGAGGGAGATGAACTTTCTTCAGTCTCCATAGGAAGCAGAGGCGCTGCTGGGCTCTCTTGGCTATGGAGTTGGTGTTGAGGGACCAGGTGAGGTTCTCTGTGATTTGGACGCCGAGGAACTTGGTGCTCTGGACGATTTCCACAACAGAGCCAGTGATGTTCAGTGGGGCGTGGTCACCCCACACTCTTCAGAAGTCAACAACCATC